TAAAAATGTTTGAAGCAATAAATGCAAAGTCAGATAAATTTTCAAATATTATATCTACTTATTTATATTAACTATGTTAATATCTTTGAGAAAATTAGTAAAACTTAGGTAATTCAAACCCGAAATTAATTAAATGAAAATTAATTTTGCCAAGTAAAATTATATTAAAGATTAATGATTAAATTTAATAAAATCAAAAAAAAATTATATAATATAATCTTTCTAAGAGACACTTTACTAATTTCACCTCAAGTACTGTTAATATATGACAGAAATTAAAAGATGAATTACGACAATTGAGATTTGTTAACATAATATCCTATTACGTAAAAAGAATTTTTTTTTTGACTTCACTTCGACAGAACACGGAAGTAATCTCAAGACCGTGATCTCACTCTTATCAAACTCATCATTTTGTAACTGAAGTGATCAATTAAAAATAACTTCATCTTAGGGTGAATAAATAAAATGTGATTACATATTCGTGTACATGATAAAACACGAGAAATATCTTATATAAAAGAAATAATAAAAGAAAGGAAGAGGAGATCGGGTGACTTACTAGTTGAAATTCAAATACTTGAAAAATTCTGGAAAATTGTTATTAACGAATTTATAAAATCTAAAAAAAGGAACAAAATAATATTAATGAAGATCAAAATAAATACTGAACAAATAAAAAACTTGAAAAAGAAATATATTTACTTAATTTGAAACTTTATACATCCACATACATACATTTACAATCATTACAACATTAATTATCATTTTCACTTCCACAAGCATCGCAATGATACAGCGGCAATTTAAAAGTATGAATGATTACTTTAAATACAAAAGAAATAAAAAGAATAAGAAATATTATTATATATAAATAATTACTTTTTTATTCACCTCAAGTTATATAATTCATTCCAAAATTCTGGTAATTCTCAAGCTTTTAAACTACATATTACTTGATCACTCTTTATATTTCAAGTAAATATAATTAATAAAATAATGTAAATAAATATATTTCATATATAGGTTGATTGTTAGTAAAATTAAGTTCCAGGAATTTTTTAACAAAATTGAGATTTTTATTGCATTTTAGTTTTAATGTTATTAGATTAAAATGCATTAAGCTCTTAATTTATTCAAAAATTTTTCAGAACCAGAAATCCTATATATATTTATTAATAATTTTTTTAATACTAAATTAAATCAAGATAAAAACAAATACCAATTTAAATATTAAGAATTTTATAAATAAGAAATTTCTGTGAACTAAATCACTACAATACATAAAATAGTCAATGAACTTAATACTAATGTAATATAATAAATAATTTATTTGTTAATCATGACGCTATTCTAATTTTTGGTTGGCAAAACAGTTTTAAATCACAAGAAATGTTTAAACCAGAAAAATTCTCACGAAAAAATTTTTTTTATTAAACTTATTTCCTTTTCAACTATCTCGTTTACTCTTTGTAACTGCTGCCAGGTAGTAAAGGCTTACAAATGGTTTCGGTCATTGTAAAGTTTAGGGCTTCAATTTGTAAGTGTAAAATAGTCTTTAAATTTGAAGGTTAAGAACGTGTCCTTTAGCAATTCCTCTTACTGAAGTATTTCAAATTATGAAAAATGAAAAATACAGTAAAATTACATTAATTTTGTGACTTAGCAATAAGTTAGCATGTCTATTCTTGAATGATAAAAATATTCAAAAGGTAAATTTCAACCTTACAAATTTTAACTTCTTTTTAATTTTTTACAGATTTTTTTAATTTTGATTTTAATTTTAAAGTATTTTAACTATTAGAAAATGTTATCTAATACATTCTTTCGTATACATTCTAAAGCCATTGAAAATATTTCACATTTGGTATATTTTGATTTTGTTCCATATGAAAAGTGGTCTCTAAATTATTATATAACTTTATTAGTTTAATTATGAGCACGTTGATAAAATGGATGCTCATTTTGCCTTTTATAAAAACTTATGTTCAATTCTTGACAATGAAAAAATGTTTCAAGAAGTCTGTAATATTTTTCAGAAACTCTTGAAAAGCAAAAAAGTAAGTATAATATGCATATGATTATAGTCAAATGAGGTGAGGCTTAGCCAGGTCCTTTCTTGTACCTTTTAAATTTATTTTAATGGGAGTGAAACACTTATCTTATCCTTACAAGTTAGTATTTATATATTTCCTGCATTCAGTCATTCATCTTATGGTGCAGGAAGTTTATACTCAACAATATAAATGTAACACTTAAAAATCTTTCAACTTTAAAAAAATAAAATTTAGAAAAAATAAACTGGTAACTTTATTCTTTGAGATAAGCTCTATTAAATTACCAGTCAGTTTTTCAAAATAAGTTCTATATAAAAAGTTATAGGCATTTAAAATTAGATAATTTTCATATGATCTTTCTGAATTTGAAACATATATTATTGATTGAAATTTATGATAATTTGAGCCAGCATTATGATTAATCATAATGTCAGCTCGAATTATTGTAATTTTAAAATGATACAAAAAACATCTCATTTTTCATTGGTCAATTACTAATCACGTGATATGAAATTCACAAAAAATTTCGACTTCTAGTATTATACTTAATTTTTTTTTATCTGATCTGATTATTCTACTGTGAATTATTTTCTCATTCAATTTTCTTTTATAATCGATGTATTTAATAGCTTCTGGAATACTTTCGTTACCAACGTCATCATTGTCCCATAAAGAAAAAAGAGAAAGTGCTTACTAAAGATGGTACTGGGTGTTCAAAAATCTTTAACTAATGTAATATAGCTTATTATTAATATTAATTCTTATTTTTATGCTATAATATTGAATTAGAATGGAATTTATTTATATAATTTATAGCTGAGCTATTTTATTTTTATATTTATTCAGCTTTTTTATTCTAAATATTGAGATTTTTACTTTAAGTTGGAAAAGTAATAATTATTTAATAAATTATTGTGAGAAAATAATTACCATAGGAGAATTAAAATTATTATTATTATTTTTTTTTTAAATACTGGGATGATTTTCAATGGAAATTCTTTTTTTATGTTTGATATATTTGTATTCTTTAATTTACTTTGTTTTTTATGATTCATAGCAAATTGGATAATCATATATTCTTTTTTGAATGATTAATAAAAGATAATTTTTTTTTTTGATTTTTTTTTTTTGGTTGTAATAATTTTCATTTTTTCTTGATTATTAATGCTAACTCATTTTTTCAGAAATAACCTTATTGTTTACTTTTAAGTTTAATGTGAATGGTTTCATCATAACCTTATAACTTTTCGATTTATGTGAATAAGCAAGCCAATTTGATAGTAATCAAGAAATCAGAAAGGTGATTTCTTAGCATTAGTTTATTATAAGGTATACAAACAGTAATATGCAGGGTGTGCGACCTCTAAGTAATGCTGATAGTCTACTAAATAGAGTAGTGCAAATTTGTATTATCATGCTTGCAAAAGCTAAGAAACATTCGTCTTGAGTAATCTCCTCTCCCTTAGCGAATACTAAATTAGTAAAATAACTCTATTATTTAACTTTTAGGTTTAGGACGAAGGTTCCTTCATGATGATTACTCCTTATCAATCAATTACAGTCTAACTGAAATTTATAATCAATAACAAATTGATTACGAATTAAAAAGATTTTGTCTGAAATTTATTTAATGTAATAACTTTAAAATTTTTTAACTTAAATAAATAAAATACAAATTAATTTTTTATTTAAGAATAGTATTTTATATCTTTACAATGTCGCAATAATATAAATTTAGTCAAATTTAATGTAAATTGAATGGAAAAGCTGATAAAATTCTGGCATTCCTTTTTTTTAGACTGAGAATTTAATTCAAAACTGATTGATCAGTACATAAATGCCTTTCATAATTCTTGAAACGTATCTTTTATTAGCATTTATTCAGTAGTCATCAAATAAAATACATAATTATTACTCGATAATATGATAAAGTTGCATCGAGTTATTTTCTTTTACGATGCAAGACAATTATGATTAGTATGTCACAAGTCTGAGCAGTATTTTATTATAACGCGTTGAATATTTTTTTATCTGATTAACTAAATGCATTCACGACCATCTGATTTTTTTTCATAGATATAATAAATAGATACCTAAATATATCGCACAACCAATCACATACTTTTATTTCCCATATTATTCCACATTCCCTATATTTCTCACTTCATTGCAAATAACACAGAAAAATATAATTTTAACATTTTCAATCTCGAAAAGTTGAAAAAAATTTATTCATATTAATTAATAAATCTTATAATACAATTAAAGTTACAATGCACCAACAAATGCTTTTGAATATTTTTCAATCATATGATTTAATCTTTGGAATTAATTCCCTTCATAAAAATAGTATTTATCCTAATAAGCATTATAAATAAAATTCGCTATAATCAATGGAGGATATAATTTAATTTTATTGATAAATAAATAATTTTTTTTGGATGTGTAAATTTCAACTTAAAAATTAACAATCAGCGGAAATGTTGTATGTGAACTGATTGACTTGTTTTAATTAATGTTGTGTAACTTCTTTGCAGATCGCATTTATATATGATTTAAATAGTGAGACGTTAAATTTTGTTACTTCAGCAACTATTTTTACTCTGAATATTACTTTTATTTTATAATATATGCCCTTAAGTAAAGCAAAATGTAACAGCTTGATAGGTAGTTATACATTGTTCGAAAAAAGGTTACTTGGTAGTTTTTATATAATCAGAAAGTAAACTAAATGTATTTTTTTAGCAAATTAGTGTTAGGAAAGACAATAAAGAAATAGGATCGACTAAGGTCAACTTTAACAAACCTTATACAAAATAAAAATACAAAGAAAAATGCTACCTCAGCTGCAAAATAAAGTATTCTTCTTTTGTTTCTAAAAAAAAGAATTACTTACTTCGGTAGAATCTAGTAATAAGAGAAGGTTTCAAAAAAAACTTGCAAATGGTTGAACAAGACAATAATCACAGTTGTAAAAGTTTTCTTCCTTGTGGTTCTAGTAGCTTTTTTCAACAAGAAGCAGATGATCCTTTTCCATGTAATATAAACAATTTCTGTTAATTTAGTTATCAAAAAAAAGAGTTTTTTTTGAACTAAAGTTTATTTGATCAACTTTAAATTTTCCACTAATATTTTTTTTTAAAAATTGTAATTAGATAGTGGTGATGAAATACTTAGGCTTGTTTCAGATTTTGACTGTGATGACTATGATGACAATTATGAGAAAGAGCCATTCAAATATAATAAAAATTTGTTTGAACTCTTAGTGGATACAGATAGCGATGATGATTTTAGTAATACAACTTCATATTCTGAATATTCAGAATGTAATAATGAACTCAATGAAGAAGAGGATGATATTAGTAATGATCAATTTGAGAAAAAGAGTGAGACTGTGCAGGATGAACCAATAATTATTCCAACAGAAGCTAATGATTCTCACGGAAAGAAAACTTCATGTGTAATTGTTGATTATTTAGAAGGTAAAATTCAAACATATGGTTCAACACATCGGCTGAGAAGGTTAAGAAGTTTGTTTGGAACTTGGCAGATAGATAGAGATATAGTCAATAGTATTGATAAGGATTATTTTTAATTAACTGTATGTGAATCTTATTTTTTATATGATCAAAATCAATTGCATAATAGTAAAGATAAACAAAAAAAAGCATCATGATGAAACTGCTATAATTAATAGACATCGCTGCTTTAGGTGTAGACATTATTTTACAACTTATAGTCATGGTAAAGGATGTATAAATCATTCATAGTTTTTTAATGAACGTTATCTTCTTATACCTTGTAATAGATAATTTTACTGTAATGCATTAAGAGAATGTGATTCTCTTTGTTATCAAATATCAGATGATATTAAAAGACCAAGATATATATATCTTGAATGCTACTAAAAGAATGGTGGTCATATTCATGTATGTCTTGGTAAAGGACAAAAAGTTTCAAATTACTTACAAGATGGCTTACATAAAAATAATACCTCATGTGGTATGGAACTAGTTGCTAATTGGCTGTTACAAATTTCATGGATAGCAGATGAATAAACTAAAGATTCAATATTAATATCAGTTGTTAATGCAATTAAAGTATATACTCCATCTGCATCTTCTGAAAATAAGAATTATCATAACCTCTTCAACAAAAATATTACTTCTATACAAAATAAAGAAAGTAAAGTTGGATTGAGTTTATTTATAGTTAAGATGCTTTTTAATTACAAAAAAGATAAAACAAAAATCAGTTCGCTAATTCAACAAGAAATAGAAAATTCTAATAGTCTAGAAAGGTTATTTAGTTCAAAATTGTGGTGTTCGCATAATGATATAAAAAGTAGAAAAGATTTATTAGAATCTCCTAAAACAATTTATGAATATTATGATGCATTTCCAAAATTTTTAACATCATTTTTATCTGAATTTGTAACTGAAATAATAAAAAAAAATTACATTATGTAATCAGCAAAGAACACGTCATGAAAAATATCACAAAGCAATACCTATACTGAAGATTATTAAAATAGTTACCTTTTTGGTATCAATTTTTACCAATATTGCGTTTCCTTCATATAATGTATGGTTACCAACAGTTTTGGCTAGTTTAGGATGAAAACCTCAATTAATATCTTTTTTACACCAGTTTTTAACTATGTGTTATGTAATTGGACACACAGAGAGACATGAACGAAATAAAGAGAAGAATCGTATAGATAATATAATACCATCTCAGCGTTTAATAAAAAATGAAAATATTTGGAATCATGGAATCATAGATAATATTGATTTTAAAACAAAAAGTTTTTTTTTTGGAAATATATATGATGTTATACGAGAAATATCACACGCGATATTACGAATGACATTACAAGCAAACCTTTCATTTAACTTTGACATAATTCTGGAAGTAATAGAATTAAATGATAAGACTCAATTGTTTGGAATGAATTTAGGTACACAAGAAGCTTTGACTATATTTCAAAAAAATATTTGAAAGATTGTTAGATTTTAAAATAGAAGATAATAAATTGATTTATAATCAAGACTTTGATGCAGAAATTATTAAAAAAATGATACTTTCTGAATTAAAACCAGGATGTTTTAGGTCTTTACCAATTTAGTAATTCTAGAACTGAAAAACAATCCAAATTCAGATAGTACAATTTTAGAAACGGCAAAAATGTACAAAACTGATTTTGAATTGAATGATAATGATTTTCTTGATATTGTTGCAGATGAAGCAATATTTCGTAGACTAATAAAATATAAGGAACAATGGCCTAGATTAAGACCATTGCTTGGATAATGGCACACTTCGAAAGACTTTTGTTCAGTTTTATTTGTATTATTTTCTAGTTATAGTATATTCAATTTTGCATGTTATCACGATAGTTTCGTGGCTTCAAATAAAATCTCAAAAGAGGTAAATAAAACTAAGACAATTACTCAAGGAATCACAGGTAAGGATTCACAATAACGTCAAAGATTTATTCTCAATATAAATCACGTGAGGTAAACACAAATAAACTCAAAGTTAACTCAAAGATATTTCAGAGATTATGCTTCAGAGACTCTAAGTCAATACAGCAAATCAATACAATATCATATAATAAGTTTACTAACAAAAGGAATTGCATGAATGAAAAGGGTCACAGATAATTTATAACAGTTTCAAAGGGTTTGCGAAGGATAAGTTTTATACTTGGTTAATTATACTCCTTTATTAATAATATATAAGTTCAGTACCTAAAAGATTAACTTCTCGTCAGTGTTTAGACTCAAAGAAAATACAGGGATATTTATACATGTTGAATAAACAATAAATAAACTAAACTAAATATGTCAAAGGAAATAAAGTTGCCATTTTGCAAGGCAATAAAGTTGACATAACAATAAAATTGCCAGATCTGCAAGTAACTAAATGGATATCTATGATCTACGTGATTATCAAAGGCAATAAAATTGACATCTAATGATTTGCATAATTGATCGATGGCAATAAAATGGACAAATTGATCTTCATAAAAGATCTACATGGCAATAAAATGGACAAATATTCTACCAATTAAATCTATCTAAAATTTTACCTGTCATACCGTCCAATAATATGGGCACTATTAGGTGAACCTTTACTTTGAAAGAAAGGTCAAGGCAAATTTATTATGATTAGCGATTTTTTACTTGAAACTGTTAGTCAATTAAAATTAACACCTGAACAATCATTATTAATTTCTAATATTCCTAATAAAGCACGTAAATACTTAAAACCTGAAAAAAATGAAGAGGGTTGGTAGATAGCAGATCATTTGATCGTTCAAGTCATCAATTATGCTATTCTTATTTTTGAAACCATTCATCCTGATACAATTGTTGTTTTTGTATTTGATAATAGTACTAATCATGGTGCAATATCAGAAGATAGATTAAATGTTACTAGAATGAATGTTAATCCTGAAGGTAAACAGCCGCAAATGCATTTAACATATTTTGGGCCAAATAATATATTACAATCAATGATTTTTCTGGCTGATCATCTATAATATCCAAATGAAGCTAAAGGTATGTGACAGATTCTTATAAAAAGAGGATTATAGAAAGAAGGTTTAAAAGAAGATTGTAAATTATGTAAGGAAAAGGAAAAAAAAATGGATCCTCAAAGAGTAGATTGTTATATGCGTCAAATTTTATCATTACAACCTGATTTTATTACACAAAAATCTAAATTACAAAATAAAATAGAAAAAAGAAGACATAAATGTATTTTTTATCCTAATTATCATTGTGAATTAAATTATATAGAAATGTATTGGGGTGCAGTAAAGAGGTATACTAGAGAACATTGTAATTATACTTGGATGAATTTACAAAAGATTGTTTCTGAAGCTTTGGATTCAGTTCCTTTGATTACAAT